CCAAGCAAAATACACCACACATAAAAACATCAAAATATTTTTTAATTTTAAAATGTGACTTTTCCACAGAAATATATTAATATTATAACATTTTAAAAACATTTCCTGCCGGGTGGTGGTGGCGCACACCTTTAATCCCAGCACTAGGGAGGCAGAGGTAGGCGGATCTCTGTGAGTTCGAGACCAGCCTGGTCTACAAGAGCTAGTTCCAGGACAGGCTCCAAAGCCACAAAGAAACCCTGTCTCGAAAAAACCAAAAAAAAAAAAAAAAAAAAAAAAAATTTTCCTAAAGCTAGACATGGTGGCTCTTTGCCTATAATCCAAGTGCCCAGGATTCTGAGGCAGGAGGGTCAAGAATTCAAGGTCATTCTACACAAGAGTTCAAGGCTAGCCTGGGCTACGTGAGCACCTCTAAACAAAAAAATTCCTTATAGAAAGCGAAGCAGAGTAGGGTGTTGCCTTTGTCCTCTTATCTTTAGTGGCACTTGCCAAACCCTGGGGGCTGGCCCTCTCCCTCTCATTGGACAGTGGCCACCTGCCAGTACTTAACTAGGCCAAGAGCCGGGCACAAACTGGGGAGTCCCTATTCTGCCACCCTAGGGATGGCACAGAGTAGGGGCCAGGGCCTGAGAAGGTAGAAGGGAGGTGTCAGAGCACGTGAGCGGGGGTGGGGGGGAGGGCAGGAGTGGCAAGCAGGACAGAGACTGAACCTGCAGAGAACACCTGGGAGGCCTGGAGTGACGCACCCCCAAATCTCAGCTTTCGGTGGTGGGAGGACCTGAGGGGGCACTTCACGGTCACAGGGCTGAACGCCAGCTGGTTAAGTCCGGTGGCGTGTGGTGAAGTCGCACCTGTCCGCAGTGAGGGTGCATCTCACCTGCTGTGTTGCTGATGAGAGCACTCCAGGGCATGCAGAGGACCAGGCTTGTCCTCACAACCTAGTGTGCATACGCTGGCCTGAGACTGTGCCCTCTGAGCCAGGGCTTACATGCCACCAGAGCTGGGACCAGCCTCGGCCCCTCCTGCACTTCCAAGACCCTCAATGCTTAGGCTGCTTAGGCTGGGCATGCTTGGGAGGCAGAGGCAGGCAGAACTCTGAGTTTGAGGCCAGCCTGGGCTACAGAGTGAGTTCCAGGACAGTCAGGTCTACACAAAATAAATAACCAAACAAATAAATAAAATAAAAGTTGGATATTGTGGTATGTGCCTGTATTCCCAACTGTCAGGTGTCTGAAGCAGGATTGCCTGAGATCAAGAGTTCTGGCAGACTGGACAGCATTATGAGATCCCATTTATCTCAGAAACAAAGGTCTAAGGGTGTCATTCAAGTTGGCAAAATGCTCCCTGACATGCACAAAGCCCTGGGTTCCTCCTCTAGCATGGAATATTCTAAGCGTAATCCCCGAACTCCAGACAAGAGGATTCAAAAGTCATCTTTAACTATATAGTAAATTTGTGGCCAGCCTGGGCTATGTGATACAAATAGATAAACAGAAACAAACCTAAAATAAAATAAAATAAACTTTTACGGTAGGTCGGCTGATCACAGATCCTCTGCCCAGGCTAAGAAGGTACCCAGGCTTCACCTACCCTTTTTTTTTTTTTTTTGGTTTTTTTCGAGACAGGGTTTCTCTTCACCTACCCTTTCAACATTGGGCCTGTCCCAGGCCCACTCCTCTCTCGGACACTGGCTGGGTGGACATCAGTCATTCTTCCCATTTGCCTCTCCCCAGGGACAAGACCACACAGAATGGGGGTTTGGAGAGCCAGGCAGGTAGGGTTGACATTCTCTCTGCCTGGGGTCTACTGCCTCCAGTCCAGGTCCCCGCCCCTCCTCTCCTGCCCCAGCAAGGCTCCCTGCCAACCCATTTGGCACTGTGCCCTCTTTGAGCAGGAGCCAGCTTGTTTGCAGCCGGTGTTAATTAAGAGAGAGGTGATGGGGGGAGGTGGGAAGGGCCGTGGAGGGCAGCCTCCGACAACCGCCAGCGCTGCCCCAGGGGCTCAGGGGGCTGGAGTCGGGCCTGGGCCCACCTGAGGTGCCTCGTGCTCCGCTGGTTCCCACACAGGACTACCAGGGGCACCACCCCTCACGTTTGCAGCCAAGCCTGCTGGGCATGGAGCGATTGAGGCTGAGGAAATGGAGCCTCCAGAATGCTCCTCTGTCTTTGAGAAAGTAGGCATGACCGGGGTTCGGGGGTAGAGGTCACATAACCACCCCTCTTGGTGGCCTGCCTTAGAGTTCAGAGAGACCCAGATTTAGCTTTTATTGATTTTTGAGCCAAGGTCTCCTGTAGCCAGGGTTGCCTTCTGTAGTAGATGACCTTGACCTTCTGATCCTCCTGCCTCCACCTCTCAGAGTGAGAACAGGCAGCAGCTACCACAGGGTATATCCAGGGCAGGAGATCTGACTCAGGGCTTCTTGCACGCACGAGCCCTAGAAATGGGCTCTAACCCCGGCTCCCACCCTGCCCCAGCCCCAGTCTCTCTGCTCTCTGAACTCAGTTTCCTTCTCTGTAAAATGGGAGCCGGAGCCTCTCCCCGGTGGCTCTGCTGTGATGCTAAGTGGGGTCCTTTGAGAAATCGGCAGCCTGTCTCTTACTAAGGATCTGCTCCTTCCATCGAACCGTGCCCAGGAGGGCTTCTGGGAACCAGAATGGGACCTCTGCAGCCTGCCCCTTCCTCCTGGGTCCCTTTGGTGGCTGACCTCAGCCCTTGCCCTTAGCTCTCCGGTCTCCAGCTACCTCGCCTCCATGCTCAGCTGGTTCCTTCGCCGTCCCCATGGTCCCTGCTTGGTTCTAGGAGCGCTCGGCAGCGCCTCGCTTCTCCATCTTAATTAGCTGCTTGTATTAATCTCGAAAGTAACGTGGCAACTTGCAGCCCCGGGTTTTCAGGCTGTGGAATTAATTATTCCCCAAGCGACGAGCTGTCAGGTCTGGGAGAGCAGCCACTGCGAGCCACCCCAACACCACTTAACAGTGTCCATATCTGCACAAAGCCCTGGGCCACGGTCTGGCCCCTAACACTAAAGCAGAAAGCCCTGGAAGGTGGGGTAAGATTCAGCCCTGCAAGGAGCTGAAGGCCCAGCCTGCGAGTCAGGCACCTGCTCCCCAGGCCCCCTGGGCAGCAACCAGAGGCCTCCCCTAGTTCTTTGTCTAGTTGGCACTAGGACTTTATGGATGCAGGCCTTGTGGCCAAAAGGGTACTGACTGGCACAGCCCTGGCATTCTGGCAGCGGGCTGCCAATCTCCCTTACCTATACGCCAGCCACATGGTAAGACAGGAGTGGCAGCCAGCTGGGCGGAGCAAGATGGGTATGGCTTATATGGAAAGTGGCAGCCATGATGGCAGTCAGGCCCACGCTCTCTGCCTGAGGGGGTCCCCTCCAGGACAGGCAGTTAGCAGGGAACCCTCCTATAGCAAGACCAGAGCTGACTCCTTTCTCGTGACCTTCACCCCAGCCCTGTGAGCTGGGGTTTTCTTCCTATTTTACATGGGAAATTGAGGCCTGGAATCAGGTGTCACCACCCTCCGGGTGCTGGCTGGTCTCAGGCCTCTGACATGGCCACGGCATGGCTGTGGCTCTCCTCTCTCAGGTGCTCCCTAGCCGCTGGCCTCCTGCTAACTCCCCAGCAGCACGTAACCCTGCCCTCTTGTTTCTTTTTTTTTTTTTTTCCTCTTGTTTCTTAAGACAGGGTCAGTCTCTCTACATAGTCCTCTCTATCCTAGAACTCCCTGTGTAGACCAGGCTGGCCTCAGACTCACAGAGACCCATCTGCCTTTGCCTCCCAAGGACTGGGGTTAAAGGTGTGGCACTACCATGTCCCATCTGCTGTTTCTTCATGGATTCCATGTGTGTTACTAGGCAGCTTGTGGGTCATGAGGGTAAGGACCATGCTGTCCTGTGTACCAGGCTTTTTCTTTTGGGACACCAACCAGCTCCCAAGTCATGACACAGAGGCTAGTTTTGAACTCTTGGCCTGTCTTAGGCATGTTTCTGGCTAGCTCTTTTAACTTAAATTAACCTATTTCTCTTTATTTACCTTTGCCTCCGGACTTTTTACCTTTTTTTTTTCTCTGTAGATCTTACGTTCACTGCTTCTCCGTGTCTGGCTGTCATTTGGTTGGTATCCTGCCCTGGGTGTGTCCTTGTTCTCTCCTCTGTCTTCCTCTGTCTTCTCTTGTTCCTCCTCCTCCTTTTAGAGCCTAGAGTTCTCCTATTTCATCTGCCCGTCCCATCTATCCTTTCTCCTGCCGTTCAGCTACTGGTCATTCAGCTTTTTATTAGACCAATCAGGGTCCTCAGGCAGGCAAGTGAAACAAATGTGGCATGCCTTTGCCATGATAAAATAATATTCCACAACAGCCTGGCCTCCGCAAACCTGTGCTGAGGGCTGGGCACTGCTGGGCCTTGGGAAACAGTGTGGGGCAAAAGAGAACAGGCAGAACACAGGGCACCCAGGCACGGCAGGACGCAGGGCACCCTGGCCACAGCGGGACGCAGGGCACCCCGGCATGGCAGGTGGAAGCAGGAGAAACTGAACCGCAAATCATCCTTTGCTACATAGTGAAAGTTGAAGCCTGTCTGAAATACAGGGAACTGTCTTTAAGGGGTGAGGCATCAAGATGGCTTAGTGAGTAAAGGCATTTGCTGTTAAGCCTGACAACTTGAACTGGATCCTGGGATCCATGCTAGAAAGAGAAAACTGACTCGTGCTAGCTGTCCTCTGACCTGAAGATCCATGCCTTAACCCTGTGTACTGCTACTTCTGGGTCATCAGGAGGCCTTGGTGGCCTTCCTGTGCCCCCACTTCCTGGTCCCCCTACAAGCCCAGGTCTTTTGGGAACTCCCCAAGCCCCCATCATGGCTCTCGCCCAAAGGGCTGGGAATCCCTATGTCCAGAGTCTCAGGACCCAGTCTACCTGATTGTCCCTCTGCCCCAAACAGCCCCTTCCTCAAGCCCTCCCATACTTACCTGTTTTTGTCTCTCTCTGTCTTGCAGCCAACAACTCCCTGCTCGGAGGTGGAGGGGGTAAGTACACAGACCTTCTGAGTCTGGGACAAGGGTGGGGGTGGGGAACGTGTCTCCTTTTTCATTCTTCAGGACTCTGCTGTGCCCACTGATAAAGCTGGAGGCCTGGCTATTTTGTTGGGGAGGGCACCATCTGAACTCAAGCCTCCTGGCTTGTAATGGGGGGGGGCTGTGGGATGATAGACAAAGTCTCATTCTGCCTGACACCAGCTTGGCCTTTGGAAGCTCCTTGCTAATTGTCCTCAGTTTCTCCACTCTCAAGAGTGGAATTACTATCTCTGCAAATTACCCATTTCTGCACTGAAAACTCCCAGGTATCCCTGCCAGGCAGCATCTCAGGTATCTCAGGCCTGCATAGGGCAAGCTTTGAAACACCAGGTGGGGAATGGGTGAGTGAGTGACAGGGGATGCAGAAGACACCCCGTGTGCCGTTGTAACATCCATCATGACGCTGAAGCCACTCTCGCGGAGAACAGAGTGACCGACCCATCAGGCACGCAGGCCAGTGCAGCAGGTGCCTCTAGAGGGGCATTCCGGTGGGCCCACATCCACCTCGACCGGTCTCCCACCACCCACCAGCACCTCAGCCCCCAGCTGCTGGGCAGCCGCTGTCTGCGCAGCGGCAGGATGATTGGTGAGCCAGGGGCCAGGGGTTAATGCGCCGTCGGATAAATCCCGGGGGCCGTGTTTACGGCAGCGGTGGCGGGGCCCAGGCCAGGTTTTAAAAGGGGGAAAAATAAAAGGGGCAGCGAAGGTCGGGAATAAATAAGCACAGCGCTAAGAGCTGTCGGTGACCAGCCAGGATGCAGGGGGCTGTTTGTGGCTGGAGATGCTTTTCCTCCCTCCCGACTCTCCTCCAGCTGTCCCCGTGGAGGTCACTGCTTCCCAGGATGCGTAGGATTCTGGGGACCTCTTCCCAAGCCTGCCCTTTGAGAGGACCAGTGTCCTCCATGGTTGGTGACACCATGCCCCATCCACAATGTCCCACCCCCAGCACCCATCCCGCACCCATTTGCTCACCATCCAGTACTCAGCACCTATGGCCGACAGATCTTGCTTGGGAGTCAGGCTCAATGTCTGCCCATCTAAGCTCCGGGTATAGGAGAGTGCCAGCCATGACAGGGTAGTAGGGGGGAGGGGGTCCTGGGCTCATCAAGGTCAGCCGGAAACACCTGCTTAGCTTGGGCATCAGAGGGATTTTGGGAAGGAATATAGGACCTACACTGGTCAGGAGAGATGGGTGGAGGAAACAGGCAGGTCAAGATCTAAAGATAAAGGACAGAGGGCATTGAGGAACCTCAGCTGATCAGAGGCTTCAGATTCCAGTCAGGAGGCCGGAGAAGCCACAGGCGTGTGGGAAGCCTCGGGGAAGCTGGAGTTCTGGCAGTCCCCCTGGGGAAGGTAAAAGATGAGGAAAACATGTGGGCCTGTCAGCTCGTCACGCTTGTCCTGCTCACAACCCTCACGTCCTCCAGAATCTCAGCTATGGCCCCAGCCACCTCTCAGGCGCCCTTCTACACTCTAGGCCTTCCCCGCCATGCAGGAGCCACACTCCTACCTCAGGGCTTTGGACAGGACCAGTACACGCTTGCCTTGGGGACCTCTGTACTGACCGCTCCTTCCACAGGGAGTGCTTTGCTCTCTTCCCTCTCACAAGCCTTTAGCTGAGTGCCATTTCCTACGGCTCAGCTAGCAGCCTTCTACCCTGGCCCTGACTCTAGAGTCACGGGATGTGGGTCTGTCTGGGCAGCCTTCTCCGTGAAGGAGGGGCTCTCCCCGAGGGTAGCCTGCAGAAGCAGGCTGGGCACAGGGATGGCTTGTGCCATCCTAGTGCCGGTCCTAGACCGTGGGGTGCTCTGGCTCCCTTTTCAGCCTCAGGGGTGCAGGGAGGCCCACTGATGAGAAGATGGGTGGGCAGTGACCCTGAAGGAAACAGGTCTGGAGCACAGTCTTTCATCACAATGCATCCGAGATTTATGGAGCCTCTGCAGCCGGGGCTGTCACTCTGCTAATAAGCTTGGAACAGGTGGAGGTGCAGGGCTGTGGAGGGAGGAAGTGGGACTGGTGGGGCCTGGCATCTGAAGTTGAAATGGACTGAGCCAGGTACCGGACATGCCCCCTCTCCTTCAAGTACAACACATCCGTTACACCATCATGAGCCCTGACCCTAGGAAGACTCTAGAACCTCCCGTGGGGGCCTGAAGTTCCTCCTCCTGAAAGGACTCAGGTCTCTACCTGCCCCCATCTGTCCTTTGCTCATGATGACCCAGGATCAGCCACGGGCCAGGAGACACCCTGCCAAGCATCCTGCCGCACGACTTTTGTCCCTAGCTCTGGGCCCTGGGAACATATCTGTACCTTACTGTGTTCTACTCCCTCTGCCACCAGAATGTGTTCCTTGTGAGGGTCAGGGCCCAGGACACTCACTGTGGCTTCTGCAGACACTCGGCTCTCCACGTGTGTATGTGTCTGCCCCAGGGCCGAGGGACAGACAGTAGAGCTGTGGGTACCCATTGTCTGCTGGGACTCGGGACTTTCCTCTGACATCAAGTGACTCAATTTAGAAGTAGGCTTCTCAAGCCAGGAATGCTGGACTTGGGCCTTGAAGGTCGAAGAGGCCTTTAGCAGGCTAGCAGGATGGAGAGAGACCAGGGAAGATGACCCTAGGCCTAGGGCAGTGCTAGTCTCCCGGAGAAGCTGGTGACCAGGGCCTCTGCCCTACCGCCCTGTGGAAAGCCAGTTATTGGCTCAATAAAGAATGTCTCAAACACTCTCCTATTGTATGGTAAGGAGGGAGGCGGGTCCTAAATCAGGATGGGGATCAACAAGGCCCAAGTGCCCCAACTGTTTATTAGCTCTGAGATGTTTGCTTGGCAATGAGGAGCCGGCTTTCTCGGGGAGATTTGTGTGTTCTTTTTCAATTACCCCTCGTCTTTCTCTGCCACTTTTGCACTAAAGGGATAATAAATGTATCAGAGCGTTTCAATTATTCATCTAAATCATGACTGTGCCTGCCATGGCCAAGTCTTAGTGACAGATTAATTCAGGGCCGCCTCCTCTGCCGGTATAGCCGCCATCTCTGCCCTCAGCCAGCGCCCCTAAGGGCCAGCTCTAGGAGCCAATGGTTGGGGTCAGGCAGGTCCCAGGCAGGAGGGCAAGACAGAGTAGGAGGGAGGAGAGGAGAAAGCCCTGGCCCCTCGCCCTCCACACCCTGCTGGGCCTTCCACAAGAAGCTGCAGGGACCAGGGGCTTCTTCTACCCATCTGTCCATGCTTCAGCTCTCAAGTCACCTGCACTGTGTGGTCCAGTCAGATCCCAGCACCGCATGCCGGAGAGGCCAGGATGGTGGAGTATCCCTTACAGCCATCCCCTGCTGCTGCTCCTCTGCCCTGACTTCCTACCGGAGCGTGGTCTCTGCTGGTAGGCACACTCCCCAGTCTAGGGTTAGAGGGGCCGCCTTATGTCAGCACTGTTTTCAGCCGTGCTTGGTATTCTGTTGTCCTTAGTGACTATTCAAGATCTGTTTGCTGCCGGGCGGTGGTGGTGGCGCACGCTTTAATCCCGGCATTCGGGAGGCAGAGACGGGCGGATGTCTGTGAGTTCGAGACCAGACTACAGGGCTAGTTCCAGGATAGCTAGGGCTGTCATACAGAGAAACACTGTCTCAAACAACAGCAGCCACAACAACAAAAGCTCTGTTTGCCCCATGCACACCATCAGACCACTTAAGGGGCGGGCACCAGGTAGACAGCACATGCTGGGTGCAGACTTGTCAATGGCCTGATGCGCTCTCATCCACGGCCTGGTACTCGTGACTGCAGCCAGGTCCTCTGTTCCCTCACACAGTACCCAGCCCTCGGTGGCGGCACCCTCTTCTCAGAAGCTCCTCTCTCCCTTTTTGGAGCTCTGTCCCTTTCTAACCTCTGTCTTGTTCACCATCCTTTCTATCGCTCTTTCCTCAGCTCGCTCTTCCTCTCACCTGCCTCCTCGCTCTCCTTTGTCCCTGCAGGGATTAACAAGGCCTCAAAGCATCCGACCCCAGAGTGGCCTTCCTCTGCATTCTTTCCAGCTGCTAGCTGCCATCACTGCTGTCTATCTGTGATTGCTTCCACGGCCTCTGGGAAAGCTGCTGCCCTGAGGAATGGTGGCCTGACTCCGTGGATAATGTGACCTTCATAGCCTGTGGGCTGCCTTGGGTATTCTGGCAGCCAGGATATGCGAGGTCCTGCCCCTCTTTGGCCACCTGCAGGACTCAGAAGCAGCAGCTAGCCTGAGGGCTCCCAAGCTTGGTAGACACAGGGTCTGAGCCTGGGGCTGTCTGCAGGAGCAGGGCTGCAGCCTTGGCACTGAGAAGTCGCAGGAGGAACAGCAAAAGCGGCTAGGATGCACTCTTGGGCTCGCTCAGATAGACGTACCATCACTGTGTTAGGGTGATCCCTACATACCTTAGCCACAGTTTCTGCCCCCCAGGACTGCAGTCCTGCACTCCTGCCCTGGGTTTATGAACTGCGGCTCTCCTCTTTAGTCCCTTCCAGTAGATTCTGCTACCCAGGGCTCCCCTACAGTGTCCCATGCTCCAGGGACATTTTGGATCACCCAATGGGCATGTTCCCACCCCTTCCCACCCCCTGTCCTGTTCCATCTTCCCGTGTCAGCGCTGCTGTCTCTACCCTGGCACTGTGACACACAAGACTGGCCCATGGCAGCCCTATTCCATGTTTATTATGGGGAACAGTATGTAGCTTTCCAGGGCCCAGAGAGTCCTGACTTGCTCTATCAGAGTTTAAGTTTTCATATTGTGGACTGGCAGGAGCCACAGAGGTTTGGTGAGCAGAATGTGGCGGGTCCTTCCTTAACCAAGCAGAGGCCCTGGGTCACCAGCTGCTCCTTCCTGACCATTATTGGGAGGACAGTGCCCTAGGAAGCCAAGCATTCTGGGTGTTCATAGGTTATCTGGAAGCTCCTCCTGAGACCAGAGGACACCATCTCCAACGAGGCCA